CGTTACAATAATTTTTTTATATCTGAAATGGATAGCCTCCCCTTTCCCTAAATTTGTACTCATAAAAAACATAAAAAGCCTTCACCAGTGAAGCATCTATTAAAGAACAATAAAAAACTATGTAAAGAAAGATTTACGCACAAATGAAAACCTTTCTTAATCTTTTGAAAATACAAATTACTTTCCAGTATCTAAAAGCACATAGAAGGGTCAACATGTCAAGGTTAAGAACTAAATCAGATGTGAAATTGTAACAAAAAATGATTCTCCTGTAATGATATATATATATATATATATCGTAAGGAAAATTGATCATCTGTAATGTTTTTTTACCCAGAAAGAAGTAACATTCTAGCTGGTTTTTACTGCTCACCATTTTGGTTGTCAGTATAACTCCAAGTTCTTTTAAATTCATTTCTTCCCATCAATGTGACTGCAAGTTGGAAACCAGCAATAAAGGGACCAAAATGACCTATAGATTAGGTACCGTTTGAGAGGGGCCCATTTTTTGTAATTCAAAAAATATTTCTGTTGGATTTGAAATTTATTTAGAGGGACTAAAAAGTGCAGCTACACCCTTTGACCACAAACAAGACAACTCTCTCTTTCTCTCTCTTGCTTGCTGAATTTAAAATCTTTCTTCTTGAAATTGGAAATTAGAAGAGGACTTCTCCTTGGCTTCTATATCATCTCACACCTCAACACACTGTTCTCAGCTCTCTTTCTACTTCTTCTTCCATTGCTTCTGTTTCAACTTTTTATTTGAAGCCAGCCCTCTTGCTTTCTTTAAGCTGAACTTTTCAATATCATTTTACGTATATATATTTGTCCAAGTTCTTTTGCTACAGAGCTACCAACTGCTGTTTCAAGTTGTGGGGTTGAGAGAATGAGTGCTTCAAAGTTCATTAAATGTGTCACAGTTGGGGATGGAGCTGTTGGGAAGACTTGTATGCTTATTTGTTACACCAGCAACAAGTTTCCTACTGTGAGTCCTTCAGCTTTAACAAAAGCTTTCCGTTTCCTTGTTTTCTCTTGCATCTATGGATATTTCTGCCATAGATTTGCTTTTTCAATTTCAATCTATTCTTCTTCTTTTTCCAGTTTACTTGTTTTGTATGCTGAAAATGTAACTCTCTCTCAATTTCTGTTCTCTCTCTTTTTTTTTCTTTTTTTTTTGGTGTGGCAGGATTATGTACCCACAGTTTTTGACAATTTTAGTGCTAATGTATCTGTGGATGGGAATATAGTAAACTTGGGGCTATGGGATACTGCAGGTAATTTGGTCTTCCCTTGCACTGAGTTTCCTTACTTCTGCTCTTTCTGTTCATGGTTTGTAGATAGGATTTTGGTAAATTGTTTATTTCTCACAACTTGACCTTTCTTGTCTTTTGTTTTAAAGGCCAGGAAGACTACAGCAGGTTGAGGCCACTAAGCTATAGAGGTGCAGACATATTTGTGTTAGCTTTCTCTTTAATTAGTAGCGCAAGCTATGAGAATGTTCTTAAGAAGGTACTGATTCCATGGCCAATATCTTTTCATTTTAATAATTCCTGTCACCTTTTGGGTTGGGTGGTCTTTCAAATTGGGAAGATGAATAATGTTTCATCAAGTATTGAGTTTGTTTCTTCATATACTTGGATTGGCGTTTCACTGATTAAAGTTCATCCGTTCTAATATATTTCTCAGTGGATGCCTGAACTTCGTCGATTTGCACCTAATGTCCCAATTGTTCTTGTTGGGACAAAGCTAGGTAGGCATCAACTTTGGCAATTTTGTTTCCCCAATAATGCTTTAGGGTGTTCTTAATATCACCATGCTTATATCTTCTATATATTTAAGATCTCCGCGATGACATGGGATATCTAGCTGATCATATGGGATCCAACATCATAACTTCAGCTCAGGTAATTGTTTTGTTTATTTTGGTTCTTCAAGATTGTTGCTTTCAGAAAGCATTTGGATTATGGAAAAGAAGTTTATTATGCTTAATATGCAGGGAGAAGAGCTGAGAAAGCAAATAGGTGCTGCAGCTTATATCGAGTGCAGCTCAAAGACCCAGCAGGTAGACAACTTAGAAGAATATAAAATTTAGGGGATATTTCATGTCTAATCTTTTTAAAGACGAATACGTTTGCTAAACTTGTTAAATAGTATAAAGTACTTGCTTGACAATTAAGACTACTGAATTATGAACTCTGCTTGGTTGGTCAGAATGTCAAAGCTGTTTTTGATACTGCCATTAAGGTTGTTCTTCAACCTCCAAGAAGGAAGGATATGGCTAAGAAGAAAAGTCACCGAAGGTCTGCTTGCTCAATTGTGTAAGTATCTTTGTTGCTCTAATATTTTTTCTTCATCTTCAAGGGAAAATAATATGACGAGGTTCAGCTGTTCAGGGAATGAAAATAGTTCCACCTAAGGACTTACAGACTGATCTATTTCAAGAACAGAATCACCACTCCTTGTGAGAGATCTAACTTTTTGTTTTGCCAATCGATAAGAGATAATTACACAAGTATAAGTAGCTTTCCGCCTCGCAAATCCCAATCCTTGCCTACTCTTTCTCGCGCTTGAATCTAGGATCCTGAACCCCAACCGCTGCTTAAGAATTGATATGCGCCATTAGATTAACATGTCATTGGTGAAGTGAAGTGTATGTAGAAAGATAAAATAAACCAAATGCCGAACCCCAAAAATGGTCAGAACATGTGTCTTTCAATTCATAAATGTTTGCTGCCTTGGCTGGAGCCTCCTGTGGTCCAAGAAACTGATATGGAGCACTTCAGGGATCAACATAACTGTGTTTGTCATATCCAGACATGTGCCTCATGTCAAAATAGCCAAATAATTCCTGAATTGTAGATTTTGGAATCACACTAATTTTTTTTAAAGTGAGCTGGCTCAGTTGGTAGAACTTTCGCTAATCTAGTAATCTAGAAAACGATGTGCATGAGACTGAGATATGGCTCATATGACTGATTATAAACTTTTTAGTATATGACTGATCATAATCTCTTTACTCTGGCCCACTTAAAATAGAGAGGAGGATAACCATTAACTAGTCATCCTCATAACCATCCACATCTTACTATGTCTAGTCACTTTACATCCACATCGTTTTCTTGAATGATCCGTCTATCGATGCAATTTACGGGCATCTTGTGTAGTAAATTTGTGTTGCTCTTACTGATTGCAGGAGCATTGTGTGTGGAGGCTGTGCTGCTTAGGGCGAAGCCTGAGAAGGAATGCTAACCACTGCCTTTTCGAATATAAACGTTGTTTTACGGTTTCTCTTGGGGGGTTTTACAAGCTTAATCCTGACAGGCCATATATTTCTTATGTGTGTATTGTAGCTGAAGTATTTGAAAAATGTTTTGTTTTTATTTGGCAAACTGACTGGAAAGTGGAAGTGGAGGGAATTGTTCATTCTCTCATGTATTGTTACTACTACTAGGGAGGGAAATCTTTTCTTCAGTTCAGTGTATGGTTTTCTTCTGAAGCATAACTTGTTTGCTTTGTATCACATTATTAATTCCTCGACACCCTTGAGCTATTTAGAACCTCATAACTAACTAAGATGGATCCTCTTTGATTTAAAGCGGCTACAATCTTGCAAAGATTTTTTAGTTTTAATGTCTGCATTTGGATCTTCATAATCTTATTAAGACTGCAATTCTCTGGTAACCGAAGCGGAGATTGAAGAATTAATAAATGTGGTGAATACTTTACTGACACCATCTCTCTCTCTCTCTCTCTCTCTCTCTCTCCTGAAAGACCCTAATGAATGAGGAGAGAGAATTAGATGTATCACAAATGGCTGCAGGGGGAGGCAGCTTCTGCTAGTCTCTTATGCAGCCAGGTAGAGACATTATCAATGCAGTGGTCCTATATATATGTATATGTCTCTGATGATTTTGCCTAAGCAAGGCAGGTAGGGTGACCCTGCACTGCATTAATGATCAACATACCATCTCTTGTATTTTCTACCCACAAGATTTGTAGCTTGCATTGGCTTTCACCTGCAGACTGCAGTGGCTGCCACTGGTTTCATTTCATATGGCTGGCTGTATATATAATGAGCCAAGGCCCACCATAGGTTCATCGCATCTCCCAGTGGACAAAAATTCAAACCTTTCTAGGATTAAGAACCAATGAACAGGAAACTGAATCTTTCTCAAAAATCTTCATAGAATAAAATTAAAGTAAATTTAAGTTTTAGTCATAAAAAAACTTTCACTTTTGGAAAAAGCTAAAAAAATTTCAAAAAAGATAGAAAAACCTCTCAACTTTCAAATCAAAGATATGCAAAAGTAAATGATTCCTTAGGAAATCCAAAAATAAATAAGGGCAATTTTGTCCATTTTGGCTTCTTTTAAAAAATTTCTATCTCCTTTTGCTTTTTCCAAAGTCTCCCGAATTTGAGATTTTGGACTTGGCCTCTGGCCTTCTGTCAGATACTGTCTCTTTTACCCTACTATATTACAAAAATATCAAGGGTGCTATTCGCTTTCTACGCCTTATTTGTGCTTTTTTTTTTTTTTTTTTTTTTTTTGGGGGTTAGTGGTTACATTGGGAGGAAAGACAACACTCGAATTTCAATCTTAGGTGCCAAGTAAGGCAGAAAGACTTATATAAAATAGGGATAGCACTGTTTTGCTACCTCTGACTAATCACAGATTGACACGTAGAAAAGTGATCACGCATGGCATATCATGATTAACTGGGGATATCCATTTCATATAAGTGTTTCTCCAAGTAGAGAAAAAAGAGGAGGGCCATAACCACTGTGGTAACCCGTGTGCTTTCAATCTTGCAATTTTCTCACATGTGGCTTTTTAAATCTAAAATTACGATTTTATTCTTAATATTGATGGAAATTTGAATGGACATTCAAAAAATTGACGACGACTCCCTAGTTGTTATATTTTTTATTTTTTTATAGTTGAAGGCTTTAATTTTAAAAAATAAATATTTAGAGGATAAATTGATAATTATGTATAGTTCAGATAACCCAAGGAAAAAAGAAACCCCTTAACACGTTTTGTTCACAAGCTATTATCGAGAAAAAGGGGAAAAAAAAAAATTAAAGCTTCAGAATCAGAAGCTCTAACCCGCAAGCGCATTTCTTCTTCTTCCACTTCCGATTGACATGGACTCTCCGCCAGCAAAGAGCTGGAGCATCCACAGCCGGCCCGAAATCATCGCAAAGTATAAGATCCTCGAGCGGGTCGGATCCGGAGCCTACTCGGATGTGTACAGAGCCATTCGACTCTCCGACAAACTCACCGTCGCGCTCAAGGAGGTCCACGACTACCAGTCGGGGTTTCGAGAAATCGAGGCCCTCCAGGCCCTCCACAGCTGTCCCAACGTCGTCGTTTTGCACGAGTACTTTTGGCGCGAGGACGAGGACGCTGTGCTCGTGTTAGAGTTTTTGACGACTGACTTGGCCACTGTGATCAGAAGCGCTAAGAAGAGAGAGGGTGGGATTGGGCGCGGGGAGGTCAAGAGGTGGATGCTGCAAATCCTATCTGGAGTTGACGCGTGTCATCGGAATATGGTGGTCCACCGCGATTTGAAGCCCAGTAATTTGTTGATTGGTGATAATGGTATGCTTAAGTTGGCTGATTTTGGTCAGGTAATTTTGATTGCTCGCGGATTGCTTTTGTTTTTGTTTTTTTTTTCCTTTTCTGTTTTTGTTTCAGAAGAAAATTGCGAAACTTTGGTGTTTTATTGATGGGTATTGAGTCACATTAGGGGCTAATGATTCTTTTAAGTTTTCTAATAAGAACTGTAATCGTGCTTTTATAGGCATGTAGTGGATTAGATTTTCTTGGAGCTGCTTTGGATCATAATAAAGTTGTGGATTTTCGTTTGTAACATGTTTCAATGAAAAAAGTTTTGAGTGAGAGAAGGGGACGGCTTTTAGGAGGAGCAAACTGGTTTAGTTTTCAATGCACTGGCATTAATGTCAGTCTGTACTTAAAATTCTTAAATTTGGCAACTGCATCTATTTTGATTGATTGGTCTTCCATTGTGGTCTAAGGGGTTTTGTACAGGTCTTGATTGGAAGGTTGGCATTTTACTTTAATCTTTATCAGAACTCAGATGATCACATTTGTTATATTTGATAGAATGATTTGGATAACTGGATTTTGATTTTTTTGACTGACTTTGAATTATGTGATTATTTGTTGTATGAAAACACAAATTAGATTTGTTTGGTTGTTTGTGTTGGAGAGTTTTCGAGTTAAAATGATATCAGAACGATCTGGAATTAGTTGAATTTTAATTTTGAGGAAGCATATCATCACATTGCTCTCTGTAGTTTGAGAAAGGATTGGTATCGTCGTTCTTCATGCACTGGCTGCAGAAGATTGGCATCTTTTATGTGTAATAAGAAATCATTCACTTAAACTCATTACTTGTTATGAAGTGCCTGCCTGCTAACTAGCCATTCACTTATCATAAGTTGGAATTTTGATAGCTGCTAACTCCAGGGCTTCAGTCTTAACTAGAATATTTGTAGACTTGATTTTATCCAAAATGCTGACAAAGATGTCAATTTAAACATGTCTAACGTTATGTTAGTACTTTTTCATATTTGGTTTTGATTGGTGCTTTCTACAATTTTACATTTCAACAGCTCGGAGTTATGTCCTCATTAACTTATGTAGGAGTGAACATTTAGTTTTGTCTCTATTTTTAGGCAAGGATACTCCTAGAGCCTGGATATGTTCCTGATGATGAAAACCCTGAACCATATGCACAAAGCACTCCCAGCCAATGTCAAGCAGGGTACAGAGTTCAAGAACATGGAACTATGAGCAAAGAAGAATATTTTCGAGTGTTAGATGAGGTGAAGGCGAAAGAACTTGATAAAGAAACAAGTGTTCCTGATGGAGATACATCTTGTCTAGCAACATGTACAACGAGTGACATAGAGGATGATATTTTGAAGGGTTCTTATTCATATGAGGCAGAGGAGGGTGGAGATAATAGAAATGGAGCTCTGACGTCCTGTGTTGGAACTCGATGGTTCCGAGCCCCTGAACTACTCTATGGATCCACAGATTATGGTTTAGAGATAGATCTATGGTCATTAGGCTGCATTTTTGCAGAGCTTTTGACGCTGGAGCCACTTTTTCCTGGAACTGCTGATATTGATCAGCTCAGCAGGATCATCAGTGTCCTGGGAAACTTAACTGAGGAGGTGTGGCCTGGTTGTGTTAAACTTCCTGATTACAGGATAATATCATTTAATAAAGTAGAAAATCCGGTCGGTATAGAGGCCTGCCTGCGAAACCGTTCCCCCAATGAAGTCTCCCTGGTGAAGAAACTTATTTGTTATGACCCAGCTCGGAGAGCTACGACCATGGAACTGCTCCAAGACAAGTATTTCAATGAAGAGCCTCTTCCAGTTCCTCTATCTGAGCTGCACATCCCTCCCACCAAAGATACGAGTTCAGACTCTCCCGGTGGCTGGCAAGAATACGAAGATATGGGTACAGACTCTGATTTTGACGACTTTGCCCGGGTGAATACGACTACCACTTCAACTGGTTCATACATTCAGTTTTCCTGAGTTCAAAGGATAACCGTGATACCAATTGTTCTTGTTATTGTTATTTATTGCTTGGAAGCTTTTAGGGAATCGAAAGTATGGTTTCTTCAAATTTCAGCCTTGTTCGAGTGAAAGTATTATTAGGAGAAACTCTCCCATGTGATGGCTAGTTGTAAAACTCTTCACCCCCAGAATTTTGAATGTCTTTTTATTTGTTCTACCCTCCTATTAAAATTGTTGGAACCTATAACAGTTGTATTAATCAGCGGCTCAAGATTTTAAAAATAAATCCAGAGTGTTTACTCACTTGTTTGTAGACTTATATCTACAAATCCCGATCCCCTCTTTTTGCAATCCTCAAGTCAAGCTCTATCCCCTCCTTTTGAAATCTATGCAAGGTGGAAGATTTCAAAATCAAATGGAGAACAATCAATCTTCTTTTCCCTTTTGGGTTGAAAGCAACAACAAAGGATCTTTCAAAACAAAAACCTCAAAGGAAAAAAATGCGTATCAGGATGACACAACCTACCATTGCAGCAATTAACCCACATCAGTTCTTATCTCAAAGATTGCATTGAATTTAAGTATAACTTCGACTCCTTTATCTCTGACAGTACGGAATGATCAAAACAAAAATACCCAGAAGATAATTTGTTGAATTGGATGGATTATTGGAAAACGTCTTAGAACCCAGCACATGCTACACAGGAGGAGTTGCTGAGGTCCTCAAGACGCACATAAAAAAACACAAGCACTATCAAAAGGAAGACAGTAGTTTTCAAATCTATGAGCAGTGCTGCTAGAATACGATATAACCATAGTTTTCCTTTTTCTTTCAAGTAAAAGAAGTATCTCCTTAAAAGTGAAGTTCGCAAAACCACCGAGGTTTATTTTTCCATTCAACAAATAAACAAGAGTACAAGTTCATATAGAAGAAAGAGAAAACAAAGAAACAAAAACTAAAGATCTATAGCCGGCTTACCGCACCGGCTGTTGATTGTAGTGGTTCTTCTCTTTCTTCTTTGCTGCAGCTAGCCTTGCATTCCTAGCAGCAGCTTCACTCGCAGCTGCTCGGGCAGCTGCATCCATTTCTTTGCTTGATTTCTTCTTCTTCATGGATGCCACTTTCTTTAGCCGCTCTTTAACATCACCAGCGGATGTATTTTCTCCCTTCTCTGTCCCAGCATCTTCATCTGCTGCTGCAACATCGATGCCATCAGGCTGGTCCGGGGATTCTTTTGGCTCCTTCAATGACTTATCCTTCTTTTTCTTCTTTTTTGCACTTTTGCTCTCCCCGGTGGCATTCTCCTTCTTGTCTACCTCGCCATTTAGATTCTCTACTTTCTTCTCTTGTGCAATACCTGCATGGAGAGGTAGGTAAAAATTCAGCCCATGTAAGAAATAACAAAAATCGAACTGATCAAATATGATGAAAGTTGCAAGAGTACATGGATCATTATTCCTTGGAAGAGATCAAATTTGATGAAAAGCCCAATAAATGAACGTAAGACAGAGGAGGGCATAAATTAGTTTTCCAACCTACTTCTTAACTGGCCAATTATCATATATAAAGATAAGGTATGTGGTTGATGTTTAGCATAGTATTTAAGCTTCCAGAAGAAAAAAAATCAGACGATATATACACAATTACTAAACAAGAACTGGAATGCATAATCATATTCATATAAGCTATATTACCACTGGAATCATCTTGGCCACCGGTCTCGCTTTTGGCACCATATCCTAGCTCTGCAAGAACAGCTTCAAGTTCTTCAAGCCCCTTTTTCTTCAGTTCCTTCTTAGAAAGCTGCCTTTCAGTATCCTTAGGAGCTGAGAAAGCTTCAGGGGGCTTCTTAAGTGGCTCAGTTTCCACTGGTGCTTCAAGTTCATTTTCATGTTCCTCGTCAACATCATCGACTTCATCAAGTCCTTCCTCCTCGCTTTCACTTACCTGGAATCCGGGATAAATATAAAAATTAAACAATCCAACCAGAGGAATAGTACTCACTCAAATGCTTTAGGATATTCAAAAGTACAACATCAACATCTTAGGTTTAAAGACTGATGGAGTTAGTTGACTTTACGAAAAGATAAATGATTGTTACATTAAGTTAATAGAGAAGCATAAGTACCCTTAGAAGAACACACCCACACGCACACATTCCAGTTTACGGTTATCTACTTGATTTTCTTTGGTTATATCTGGGATACACATTGAGTTTTCACAATGAAACCATAAAAGCTACTTGCAAACCTATCACTTTGCCTTATAAAAATATGTTTTCATAACAGAAATCAATTTATTATATTACCATAATGAAAGCAACAAAAGATAAAGTTCATTGCATCCACTATAGAAGGAGAATCATTTCCACGAGATGCAGGTAGACGTGTGGGTGAGTTTTCTGTCTCACGACAATGTACACGTGTTGAAAGGAAACCGATCATGGATAGGCCATGGATACCGACAAAGGATATAGCTATTTTCTAACAGAATAATGGCAATTCAATTCCATGAAATGCAGGTACACGTGCGGGTGAGGTTTCTGTCTCATGAAAATCTACATGTGTTGAAAGGAAACCGATCATGGATAAGCCATGGATTCCGACAAAGGATATAGCTATTTTCTAACAGAATAATGGCAATTCAATTCTAACAAGTCAAGGTGGCAAAAAGACAAAATCAAATGTCTCCACAAAAGCCACCAAGACCAGATCATAACATCAAAGATGCATAACGTAACACGTGCACACAAAACTGAGTAGATGATAAGCCTTTACAGGTAATGCAATAACATTTGGACTTTAAAATATTCGCATCTACTACCGTTAAATGAAATGATTGAAAGAATAACACAAACTAGATAAGGATTCCACAAAATCAACAGATATGAATATCAATAAATTCCATAACTCCTACCAAATGTTATCATCAAAATCCTTTCAGTAATCATCTTAATCATTCCAAAAGTAGAAAAAAACAACCAAATGTAATTGCTTCAGCAAACATCAGTGATATTTCACAGTTCCTATGACTTGTTTTCCTCATTAAATCTCCATATGTGTTGTCATGTCAATTTCCAAATACCAATTAAACAAAACTAAGCAAAAAAGCACCGCCTTTTACAGCTGCATCATGAAAAGGACCGATCATTTCCTATAACAGAAATAGATACATTCCCACACATATACAATGCATGCTTTCCAAGTTTAGCACCATCCAAAATTAAGATCACGATGCAAAAAAAAGGCCAAAAAATATACCAGTTCACCGACTTCCACATGCTCAGCCTCATGCTCAGTCTCCTTGGCCACCTTTGAATCCTCACCGGCCCAGCCCAATTCGGGCGGAGCTGTAGTTGCATAGTAGTCGTCGTCGTCCTCGTCATCGACATCGGCCCACGATTTCACGTTGAGGGGCGCAGGAGCCCAAAACACCTCTTTTTCGGCCTCCTCAGGATTCTGAGCTGTGCCGCTTTTCGAGCTCTTGGAGGAACCTTTCTCGGACTTCTTCTTCTTCTTCAAGCTCCCGAGCGCCGCAAACACGTTGGTGCTATTCAGAACCACAGACTCGTCCTTTCTGTTCCCGCCTCCCACCATTTCTTAACCCAGCGTAAGTCTAGACGTACCGCGCGTTGCCAAACAGCAGGTTTTTTGAAGTTACGGTTTCGTGACGAAGCTCAGGCGCGAGCTGGAGGGCAAAATCGGAAATGGGAGAGGGAAGAGATTAGGGTTTGGGAGGATTTGGATTCTCAGATTGCTGTTGAGGTTGGTGAGGATCTGAGAACGGGAGAGCTGAAATGAAACGAATCGTTTTGGTGAGCTCGGGTGACGAGTGAAGAGGGTTAGCAGTGTCTCCTCTGAGAGACAGCGAGAAAAACTCTGCGAGGCTTTCGTGACGACGAGTGAGGAGGAGGAGGAGGTGGCTTTGCGTATGTGTGAAAAATGTTGCGCTGGTTGAGTTTTTCAACCAACATTACATGGCAAGGGTGTGTGAATCTGTGATGGGCTTATAAAAGAAGAAAAAAAAATCTAATTCTGGGCTGTGGATGTGGGTGAAGCCTGGCCGTCGGATGTGTCCGTGACCAAGATTTTGATGGGCGGTCATGATGGTTTGGTTTGGCGTGGGGCCCAGTGGGCCTTGTTTTTGTTTCAGGATAAGAGGCATCTGGCGTGGCTTCAATGCAGACGATTGGGACCCAAAGGACCAAAACGAGCCCTTCATAGTCCATGCCAAAAGGGTAACACAAATGTAGGTTGAGAAAAGTTTAATGTTTTTCAATTCATTCTCCGAAAATGAAAGATTACAATTAAGATATGGCATTCATGCCCGTATTTACATTGTTTCTCAGTTAACGCAATGAAACTTGAATTCAGGATCTCTTCCAAAGATAGAAAGAAAAATACTAGCGCTTTCGGACCAAGTATAACCAAGTTCAACACAGCATGATCGAGTCCAAGTAAATCTTAACCTAAATCAATCCACTCTAAATTTTGTGAGCTTGAATTTATTGAGGTGATGAGCTTCTACATAACTGACCAATAGTGACAAACTTGCTATTAGAAAAGAAGCAGAGTATAAAAAAAAAAGAATATGAAAACTTGCTTGCTAGACCCGGAACTAGAAAATTCAAAAGAAATCAATTATCATTTTCAGCTGAAAAGGATACAATTTGTTCAAATTCATGTAGAAGATTTAAATCGAATTACAAAGACCAAAATATGTTGAAATGGAAGTGAAATCAAGATGAAGCAAGGGGTGCATTGTCAAACGTTGTCCCGACATGTTGAATAACGAATCCATAGATCTTCCTCTTCAGCCTGTCAACCTTTTCATTCATTTGCTCATCCCTCTTTGACACAACTCGGTCCAACCACTCATTCACTCGTTTCAACTGTGATAAAACAGCTGCAATGGAGCCACAGTCGAGAGGCAATTTAACACCATCTGCGGCACACTCTCCAAACACCCGAAAACCGGCATCCAGGGCCTTCTCAACGAACTCTAGAAACCACATTTGCATCTCAGACTGCAGACTCATTGCAAGCTCAGCAGTATCTTTCATGCCACGACCCTTTGTCCACGTCCCAACATGAGCATTGGACTCTGGTGAAGAAGATGAAGAAGAAATCTTCATATGGGTTTTGGCAGGTGCATTGAGAGATTGTCGTTTTGACAAACTTTTCTGCAGGGTTGATGGAGGCTCATTGTCTTGGGTGGTAAGAAGAGAGACAACCCCAAGATCAGTAGCCAAGGCAGCTTCAACCCAGAGAGAAACAGATTTTGATTGCTCTGTTGGAATGTT